CATATGTTGAAACAGGCTTGCATTTCTGAGATAAATCTCACTTGGTCATGGTGTATAATCATTTTTATATGTTGCTGAATTTAGTTTGCTAGTATTTTTTGTAGCTGTGTTTATTAGGATTATTTATCTGTGATTTTCTTATGATGACTTTGGTTTTGACACTGTGCCATTTTAAACCTTACACTTTCTCTAGGTTGTTCTGTTGCTAAATAAATAAGATTTTTAATCATTCCCCAAATCACTTCACTTCTGTGGCCTTATCACAGGTATTAAGATAGTCTCCTTGAACTCTCTACAGCTCTATGGACTCCATTTCACCATAATAGAACAAGGTGACTGTAGCCTATCCACACTCAGACATATACACTATCTCCCATGTACCAAACTACCACTATGACCAGCACCATTGCCACCATTCCTCTTTTAAATTCACATTCTATGCCAAATTTGTCCTGAGTTGAAACCAATACTGTAATTCTAGAGAGCAAGTAGCACATGTCTATTCTTTTTAATTTTTAAGTATTAATATTTTGATCCATCCCAGGGAGAGTGCTAAGATAGAGCCTAGTTTAATCATGTTGATAGTTCTCCTTTCACTCTGAATGATTCAACACAGATAAAATCTAATTAAAAGAAACATCAAGGAAATCTAGAAAACAGAAGTATTATTATTATTCAAGGGCTATCTTAGCCTGCAGGTTGGATTTCCATGACTTTTCCTAGGGGTAGTAAGTTAGGAAGGTAACTTATAAGAGGTACGTACAACTTTGAACTGGCTTTTACTCTCTAACCACTTGGTTCTAGATATATAGGTACATGTCATTCAAATGAACAATGTTTGGGTAGTTGCCTCAATTTACCTTGCCCTGGACACTACCAGGAACTCTCACTCTACTCCATCTCTTTGATCCAGTATCCTTTGGAATAGTGCAGTGGAGAGTTCTCATCTAGACCTCTTTTCCAAATAACCAGCCTAACCACAGATCACAAAGCAGACCCATGGAACATTCACATAATGGAATACTACTTCACCATAAAAAAGAAGGGAATTTTACCATTTGTGACAGCATGGATGGACTTGAAGAGTATTATGTTAACTGAAATAAATCAATCAGAGAAAGACAAGTACATATGATTTCACTTACACGTGGATCTAAAGAACAAAATAAACTAACAAACAAAAGGGAAACAGGCTCAAAGATACAAAGAAAAGACCGACAGTTATCAGAGGGGAGGGGGGTTTAGGGGGCTGGGTGGGAAAGATGAAGGAATTAAGGAAAAACTCATTGACGCAGACAACACTATGGTGATAACCGGAGGGAAAGGGGGCACTGGGTGTGTAGAAGAGGGTAAAGGGGGATAATGGTGCCAGAAAGAGACCTGATTTGGGGTGGTGAACACACAGTACATTATACAGATGATGTATGATCATTTTATTTATTTTCTTATTTTTTCTTTTTTTTATTGTTGTTCAAGAACAGTTGTCTCCATTCCCCCCCACCATTACCCCCACCCCCCAACTCCAGCCATCCACACCACCCACCCTTGATCCTATCCCACTTTGGCTTTGTCCATGTATCCTTTATACATGTTCCTTGACAAACATCCCCACTTTCCCCCTCATTATCCCCTCCCACCTCCCCTCTAGTTACTGTCAGTTTGTTCTTCATTCCAATGTCTCTGGTTATATTTTGCTGGCTTGTTTGTTTTGTTGAATAGGTTCCACTTATAGGTGAGATCATACAGTATTTGTCTTTCACCACCTGGCTTATTTCACTTAGCATAATGCTCTCCAGAGCCATCCAAGCTGTTGCAAAGGGTAGGAGCTACTTTTTTCTTCCTGTTGCATAGTATTCCATTGTGTAAATGTACCACAGTTTTTTAACATTATTTTATTCTTGTTCAATTACAGTTGTCTTCATTTACCCCCACTCCAACCAAACCCACCTACCTCCCTTGCTTCCACCTTCCCCCATGGTTTTCGCCATGTGTTCTTTATAGTAGTTCCTGAAAACTCTTCCCCCCATTGTCCCCTCCCTTCTCCCCTCTAGTCACTGTTAGATTGTTCTTAATTTCAGTGTCTCTGGTTATATTTTGTTTGCTTTTTTCTTTTGTTGATTATGCTCCAGTTAAAGGTGAGATTATATGGTATTTGTCCCTCACCACCTGGCTTACTTCACTTAGCATAATGCTTTCCAGTTCCATCCACGCTATTGCAAAGGGTAGGAGCTCCTTCTTTCTTTCTGCTGCATAGAATTCCATTGTGTAAGTGTACCACTGTTTTTTGATCTATTCATTTACTGATGGGCATCTAGGTTGCTTCCAGCACTTGGCTATTGTAGATTGTGCTGCTATGAACATTGGGGTGCATAGATTCTTTGAACTGGTGTTTCAGGATTCTTAGGGTATAGTCATAGCAATGGAATTGCTGGGTCAAAAGGCAGTTCCACTTTTAGTTTTCTGAGGAAATCCCATACTGTTTCCCACAGTGGCTGCACCAGTCTGCATTTTCACCAACAACATACTAGGGTTCCCTTTTCTCCACAACCTTCGCAGCACTTGTTGTTTGTTTACTTGGTTATGATGGTCATTCTGACCAGTGTGACATGGTATCTCATTGTGGTTTTAATTTGCATCTTTCTGATGGCTAGTGATGCTGAGCATCCTTTAATATGTCTCTGGGCCCTCTGTATGCCTTCCTTGCAGAAGTGTCTGTTCAGGTCCTTTGCCCATGTTTAATTGGACTGTTTGTCTTCCTGGAGTGGAGTCACATGAGATGATGCATTATAGAATTGTACACCTGAACCTAAATAATTTTATTAATCAATATAACCCCAATAAATTCAGTTAAAAAAAAACCTGACCCACTGGCCTCTCTGTGGGGCCATCCCCAATAAGAGTAGACATGCTTCATTCTTGGTTTATTTAGGATTCTCAACATGTTAGCTTTGTCCAATGTTATAAAACATTTATTTCTTAACTTTGGGCAAACTCTCCTTCCTCTTCTTGATTTGGATTTATTTTGTTCTTTATTTGTTTAGTTTCTTAAGGTGGGAAGTTAGATAATTTATTTGACTCTTTTCTTATTTTCTAATATAATGATTTCCATATTATAAATTTGCATCTAAGCACTGGGTTGCCTGCATATCACAAATGTTGATATGTTGTGTTTTGCTTATAAAAGTTCCAAATAATTTTTAATACCCCCTTGATCTCTCTACTTTGACCCAGAGATTGTTTAGAAGTGTATTATGTTATTCGTTTACAAATATTTGGGGATTTTTCACATATCTTGCTTTTAATGAGTTTTAGTTTAATTCCTTTATGGTCATAGAACATATCTCACATGATTGGAATCCATTTAAATTTATTGAGACTTATTGTATGGTCCAGAATATGGTCTCTCCTGGTACATGTTCCATGTGTACTCAAAAATAATATGTTTGTAAACAATAGGTTTCTAAACATTCCTCTCTTATGTCTTTGTACTTTTTCTTCACATAAGTTTTATTTCTTCTTTTTCTTTCTCTTTCTTCCCCTGATTTTAACAAGTAATACTTCACTTGATTCCAATAGAGAGTAGAACTATGTGGCTTTTGAGTTATGTGAATATATTAACTATTTTAAAAATTACTTCTTGTATTTTTAAAAAGTAAGCAATGATAATGGAATCATGGTGGTGGTCTAGACACAAAAAATTATCTACACATAGATAAACTATAAGGATATACTTAGCAAACTGGAGATTGTGCACAAATTTGGAAGGTAGAAACAGGAGATATTTTCAGACAAATACAACTAGAGAATTTATAATACCTGCAGTAGAAGGATAGGCACACTCAAAAAACTTCAAGAACAGAGTGAATGAAATCAAGGGACTGGAGTGGAGTGTGAAATTAAAGAGCTACTGTCTGTTTGCTGATGCCCTGTTCTGACACTTCCCCAATCTTATGAACATTGGACAAAGCCATACTGGAAATTCGACCTTCTTTAATCTCTCAAACTACACCCCAAAGATAGTGAATTATTTGACCAGGAATGAAACCCAAATTAGAGTAAGTCTGAGACAATGACAGACCTTTACAGCAGAAAGAAAATGAAACAGAAGGACACATATACCTACAAGAGTGATCCACAGAATTCTTCCAGTGTTAGAAAAAATGCCACGCTTTTATGATAGGAGGATCCCTACCCTACCTGTGAGCTCCATGACCTGTACCCCAATGGAGACCGCTGAATAATTGACACACTCCACCCTCCCATTCAGAGGACAAGCATATTAGTGAAATGGACATCACAATAGTAGATCAGATCCATGCTAATTACCTAGGTAAGTCACATGTGCTCTTTATTCCCAAATACGAATGGACAAATGATTGCCAGTATTTGAGGAAAGTGAAGGAGAAGATCATGATGAACAAATTGAACTATTTATGGAGAGAAAAAAAACACTTTACATTGTATACATGCATGTCCACACACACGAGAGAACTTTGCCAAAAAAAATCCAAATTCATATTCTTACAATTTTAAGTAAAACAAGGGGGAAACAGTATTTTTAAAGGGAGTGATTAGAGAACAAGAGAAAATTCTTGAAAATAGGAATATTGCCAAATTAAAAACTTAGGTGCCCAGCACAAAGTCACTAGGCCTCAGCAGGCTCTGATGGAACCTGGAACACAAGGCTCCTGCCCCTCCGCCCTCATCCTCGCCTCTCCCCCCAGGAAACTGCCTCCAACCCTCCCCCCACCTAGTAACAGACCCATTTCCGGGTGCCATCCTGGATCCGGTCCAGCAGGTGTCCCCCTCTCAGATTCCAGGAAGGGACCCTCTAACGTCTCCCTGCGTCCGCCATAGATTCAGACTCCGGCTGCCCGGGTCACCCACCGCGGGGACACTCCGAGGGCCGCAGCCTCTACCATTGACTCCACTGCTGCTTGGCTGCAGCCCCCGCTTCTGCGCTGCCTTAGTCTTGGTGCCACGAGCCTGCAATTCCAGACATGGCGACTCCGCCTGGGGCCTCGTTTGTGCGTCAGAACTACCACCCTGAGTGTGAGGCCGCCGTCAACAACCACATCACCCTGCAGCTCTACGCCTCCTACGTGTACACGTCCATGGCGTCCTATTTCCATGGCACCTCGTGCAGGCACTTGGTCGAGTTCCTCCTGCAGCAGTCGAGCAAGGAGAGGGCACTCGCGGAGTGGCTGATGCAGCTGCAGAACCAGCGCGGGGGCCGAATCCGCCTGCGGGACATCAGCAGGCCTGACCGCAACAAGTGGGAGAACAGCCTGAAGGCCCTGGAGTGTGCCTTCCACCTGTCCATCGTGGTGAACCAGAGCCTGCTTGATCTGCACCAGCTGGCCACCCAGAAGGGGGACGGCCACCTGTGCGATTTCCTGAAGAGTCACTACCTGCCCCAACAGGCGACGTTCATCAAAGAGCTGGGGGATCACGTCATCAAGCTGCGCAAGATGGGAGCTCCGGAATCCGGCCTGGCAGAGTACCTCTTTGACAAGCTCACCCTGGGTGACAGCAAGAAGAACTGAGCCTGGACTGCCTTCCTGATAGCCACATGTGACTTCCCCTGGTCACTGTGCTGAGCATGCCTATTGCCATATTACCTTTCAAAATGTTCACTTAAGTTTTTATGTTCCAGTTTTACCATTTCTTCCAATGAAGTTATTGGTTCCTAAATAAATAAAGGTGTTTCATTGATACGTGTGTGCAAAACCCTCGCCTTTTAAGTTTTAAAACAGGTATGCAGGAGTCTCTCCATTGCCCCCTTCTAATGCCTCAATCAAGTGCACCTTGGTATGTCCAAGGATGGAGGGAAGAGGTATTTTCTGGAGCCTGGATGGAGGGAAGGGGTTTTCCATGTACCCTGGATAGGAGGAGATATTCTGTCCATGGCGTCCCCTGGAGACGCCATGGACAGAATTAAGAGAAGGGGTATACCATGGGACCCTGGAATATGCAGAATTAATCTTTGTCTTATAAACAATGTGGTATATGGGGGTAGGTGAGGCGGGGACCTGGTGAATGTAGGTGTATGTGCAGGGTAGAAGTGTAAAAGTCAACAGTAAAAAAATAAATAAATAAATAAGTAAGTAAATGGAGTGGAAAAAGGGGGAGAAGTATGTATAGAATCATGGCCTGAAAATCAGGGTTGCAGTTTCCTCTGGAGAAGAATTGAAGGGAACTGAATTGGGCAGAGATTGACCTGAAAGGAGTCTTCGCTTTGTTGAAATGTTAATGGCTCATTTCAGTAGCTCATTGGGGGGCCTTGGACAAGCTCACCCTGGGCTACCGTGATAATGCCTCTGAGTGCTGGGCTGGCTTTCCTGTAGACATGGGGTGAGTTCCTGTAGTCACTCGTGCTGGGCAAGCATGCTGCCCTTATAGTACAGGCAGGTGTGATCTCTCTTGCTTAAAGCAACATGGTACCCCCAAATTTACCCCTGTAAGAGGCCTGAAAATATAAAATCATGATTGGAGGTCAATTTCTGATATTAAATATCTAATAGAATAGATGCCACCAAATGTTAGGTCAGTGACTGCCTGCTTTGAAGAGTGTACAGGGCAGGGGAGAGTTGAAGCTAGGAGGCCAGCTGGGACATACTGCAGCTTGTCCTGGTAAGAGACAAGAGGGGTTGGGCTGAAGTGGAGGCTAAAGAAATGAAGACACAGGCAAATTCTACTGGATTTGGATGAATCAAGATTTACGTATGGACCAGAAGCGAGTAATGACAAATGACAACAATAACGTAGTTCCTAGTGTTTGAGCTCAATTGCCCGGGTTGAAGGTGTTGCTATTTATTAATCGGGGGACACCTGAAGGGAGACTCGAGGGGTGGGGAAGGCCTGTCATGTTGAATCTGAGATGTCCATTAGACATCCAAGTGGAAATGTCATGCAAGTAAATGAATTGAGCTCAGGTTGGAGGTCAGGGTTGGAAAGACACACAGGGAGACATCAGCTATAGATGCCTTTGAGGTATCTGGATAAGCTCACTACATAGTGTAGAGAGAGTATGGCCCAGCCAGCTCCAAGCACAGGACAGTTAACATTAGGGGTTGGGTTGAGGTGTTGGAACAGCCAGGCAGCTGCTGGTCCCACTGGGACCATGATGTCCTTCCAAACTGTGGCCACTTGTGTCTCCTGAGTCTATCTCAGAATCAGCCTGTTCCTAACCTCAACGTGGCCCCTGCTTTCTACCTGCACGATGGGGGAGAGGAGTTAGCCTGTTACCTTGTCTTCATGGCTGTGGGTAGAAAGAAATTATTTCCCAGTTAAAAATAAAAAGATTTCCCAAAGAAATTGTAGATGTCTGTTTTTCACGTTCCCCCTTTAAAAACTCTGCCTCCCTCTCAGTACACTGTGACCATATGAAATCTGTACCCATGTTAAACCCTAAGTTTGTCCCTGCCTGTGAAAAAAAATAAAACACGTTTCTTCCATGCCTGGTGTGGTTACAAAGATAAAAGTTAAAAAATTGCAGGTTTGCACACCTCATCAATATCACATGGCTAGCTTGTCTCTTTAAAGTTTGCTGATTGCTTTGAACAGTTACTAATATATACACAAGCTTACCTACACAGTAATTGCCTTTCTTGACCTTTATTGCCTGGGTTCAAATCCCAGTTTGGCCACTTTCTAAATTGTTAAATATAACTATAAAATTTGGTTGCTCAGAGGTTAAATGAGTCAATATTTTACAGTGCTTACCACAGTGCCTAGCACACAGAGCAGACAGATTATTTGTAAGCCTCCTTTACCATCATCACCATGGTCATCATCATCTCCTCACTTCTGAGTTCCTTTGTGGTGTTCATGCTTTGGGGGGGGAGTTCATGTCTACACTTTGCCACTGGAGGTCTCTCTTGCATTTCAACTAACTGTCACCCTGCATCTGGGGAAGGAAAATTACTTCATACTTGTCAGGTGCTGCCAGGACTCAGGAGGGTGATGGCTGGCTGTTTCTGCTGCCCCAAACTCAGGCCCAAGTCTAGAGGTGAGTTTCCTGTGACAACTGTCTGTGTAATCCCCCATTTGTCTCTACCAGCCTTCCCTTTAAATCACCCCCTGGAATACTTTTTGCTTATTCTGCCCACACCCAGGTGCCTGAGCCTCATCTTTCCATCCTGAATGACATTGCACTCCTCAGAGGTGGGGAAAGAGTGAAAAGGTGAAATGCTAATCCTGATCCCACCATCATCTGGATGTTTGGACCTGAAAAGGAGAGGAATGGGTGGACTGAGAGCAGAGAATGAGCAAAAGGGCTACTGATAACACAAAAATGGATAAATTACCATTCACTTTCCAACAGATATTCTCAAGCTTTGCTGTACATTAGTACACCTTAGAAAGCTTTTAGAGGTCTCAATTCCTAGGCCACATCCCATGCCAACCCTATTAACCTCTGGGGCAGGACTTCAATATCCTTGGCATTGAAAAACCATGCAAGTAAGTGCCTTGCTACCCAAAATGTGTTCTATGGAGCAGCATGGTAGTGTTATCTAACTTGTTAGCAATGCAAAATCTCAAGCCTTATCCCAGACCTGCTCAATCAGTGTCTATGTTTAAGAAGACTGAAGGTGATGAATATGATGAACTGAGAAGTACTCTTTGGCATTCTGGTTGTCAAATGTGGCTTCACCTTGGATCACCTGGGGCCCTGGAAAATAACACTGATGCCTCTATTTAACTCACTTCGCCATACCCTCATGTAAGCACAGCACCTAGCACATTAAAATATAGTGTAACTTCAACAACAATTACTGAATCAAAAATTATTTATCACACACACATACACTGTCACTCACATATTAGCTTTTAGCCAGTCTGCTGTTTTATCAAAAACTCATTTGCTTCAAAGTATGGGTTGGCAAACTACAGCCTGCAAACCAAATCTGGCCTCTGTGTTTTTATAAACACAGTTTTATTGGAACACAGCTGCACCCATTAAATTACCTATTGTCTGTGGTTGCATTTGCATTACAAAAGCAGAGTTAGTAGTTGCAAGGAAGACCATATGGTCTGCTAAGCCTAAAACATTCACAGAAAGTCTTTGCCAAGCCAAGTTTTATACTAATTTGACACAGGCCCTGAGTTCATTAAAAGCCATCAAATATTTTAAACTTTTCACCTGTCCTTATGCATCTATTTGTCCTTTTCTGTTTCCTTTTATTTTCTCTCACTTTCAATAAACATTCTAGAATAGTTTAGATATTTATAATATTTTATGCACATCCCTAACTTTCCCACTTACTAGAACTGCAATTGTTACCTTCCAAATTTATGTCTTTGTGTAATTTAGCAAGTCAACCTGTAGACTTTCTTTGTGTCTAGTTTTCCCTGTCCCTCAGTGTGCCTTTGTTAATTGCAGGCCATCAGTCATCTTGCCTCTGGAAGTATTACAGTGGAACAATGCCTGACTAGCCTTTTTGACTGATTCTTCGTAATTACATATTCATCAAAAAGCTATTTAAAGTGAATTTATTTTTTTTAAAGATTTTATTTATTTATTTTTAGAGAGGGAAGGGAGGGAGAAAGAGAGAGAGAGAGAAACATCAATGTGCGGTTTCTGGGGGCTGTGGCCTGCAACCCAGGCATGTACCCTGACTGGGAATCGAACCTGCGATGCTTTGGTTCGCAGCCTGCACTCAATCCACTGACCTATGCCAGCCAGGTAAAGTGAATTTATTTTTAAGTTATTGCAATCTATTCCAATAATTTTTCTTACTGTGAGGAATTTGAATTTCATTAATATGCAAAGCTACTGCCTTGCCTGAAAGGAATATACCCCTTCTCTTTCATCTGTATTTCAACATTTACTTTTTCGTAATGGTTTTGGCCTACAATTTATTATATATGATATTAAGTATGCCACATACAATGAGATTTATTCTTTTTTTCTGTAGGACAATATTCCGCATGATTTTTTTCTTCCAAAGTTTAATTATTTTATATAAAGTGTATTGAGAAGTAAAAGTTCCAATTTAAAATATATTTTAGAACTAGAAATTAAGAAATAACCCTAAATGAAACATTCTAGGAACGGAACATTCATGCGGTTTTTGAATTTTTTAGCCAAATAGCCATTTTTTCCAAAAAATTATATTGAGTCCTGTGAAGTGTCCTGCATTATGCATGGCACTAGGAATATAAGGTGATTAGGGCATAGTTTTTTCTCACAAGTGTGGTGGAAAAGACAAATACATACATGCCTTCAATCTGTTCAGGTAAAATGTAAAGTAAACATAAAGTGATATGTGGTTCCAGGAAAGCAAAGGGGTCTAAAGTTTACCTGAGACTTAGGAAACATCCACTGTGGAGATACCAATGAGTTGAAAGATGAATTAGAATTCTGTAAGTGGAGAAGAGAGAAAAGGACATTTTAGCTATGTGTATTTGCTGCAGAGGGGCCAATAGAGAGGTAAAGGTTACAAATTCAGGAGTGCACAGGGGTATAGTTAAAGAAAGAAGACCCAGAGGAAGAGAGGTGATGGATTTATCTTACATATGAGGAAGGATAGTTTTTTTTTTT